TTAACTCCAAATCAATCTTTTCTTCAATCTAACCTCTTCTCTTCAATCAAAACACCACTGCGGAATTGCCTTAGAAAAAACTCCCCCTGCTTTTGGGAACAGTTGTACGTATACACAGAGAACACCCTCAAAAAGAGAGGAGCGAGAGAAAAGCGTGGGAAATTAGGGATAAAGGCATGGTAGTTGAGGGAATAGGGGTAGATATGAAGGAGAGGCATGGAAGTTCTGAGGGAGATGTCAGAAAAACAAAAACCGCAATGGGAGAAAACTAAACAAATCGACCTCCTTTTGTCAAGTTAAGCATAAGAATGTAAACGTAGGTGTGTCAAATCGTATTATGTGTTATTTTTTTATTGTGCCATTTTGATTCATATTAATTTCGGATTATATTTCTTTTGTATTGTGTTCGTATAATATTCGTAATAAAAATTATTTAATTCTAAAATAATGTATATAATATCATGCAAAAATAATTACTCAACATATATATATATATAATTTTCATCTTTTTATTTATTTATTTTACATCCTATAACTCTTTCTCAGTTAGACTTGGACAAAATAACAGAGCAAGTACAAGTATTAATAGCATAACAAAAATGCGTTTCTTGTCATTAATATGTTTGCCTGTGACAATTGTAACTATAACGACAAATTTCAAAAACAAATTAACACAAAATAAGGTTAAGTCACAATAGTCAATTTGATTGACTTTAACTAAAAGATGTAGTGTTAACTCTTTTCGGCGTGCTTCTCACGTGAATTGTCCTTTGATTCTTAGTGAATTTAATGAAGATGATGAATTTGGTGAAGATGAGGGCCTGATTGACATATTTCTCGCTCTTCAATTGAAGGTGTCTTTGGTGGATTTGATGAATACGAGAGCTAGATCAATGTATTTCCCGTTCTTCAATTTGATGATGTTTTTGATGAATCTCCTCACTATTCTTCGTTTTGAATGGCTTGAAGATGATTTAGATTTCCCAAAGAAGGTCTTTAGTGGTGTGTTCTTCTTCCTGGAGATGAACTTGCAAGATTTTAGTGAACTTCGAATAGAGTTTCGCTGGTCTTCCTTCCTCCTTAGCTTCTTTTTCTATTTCTCTTTTTTTTTGGTCCTCTCCTAGACCTCTATTTATAGTGCTAGGAGTAGTTATCCATATAAGAGAGATAGTTATCCATATAAGAGTACTTTTACCTTATTACTCTTATATGAGCTTTAAGTAGTGGGCTCCCCATAAATTTGTAGGCTTTAGTTAATTTATGGAATTTAAGTCTAACCCACTTTATCTTTTAAAAGTTTATTTAATTTGGCCCTATGGATTTTAAGTCTATTTTAATTTAATTTAACAAGCCTGATTAATTGCATTTGGTCTTGTATTATTTAGGCTATGAATTTAAGTTCGGTTTAATTTAAGAGATAATGGAATGTGGGTACTTTTTTCAGAACTTATTTGACTTTAAGTACCACTGCCAAACTTATCTTCCTTTAAGTCATATTTTTCATCAAATAGTTGTCAATAAATATACATTTAAAAATATTTTTAAATTTTTTTTGAAATATATTCCATAATTACCCCTACCATAAAGAGTGCATACCTAATTAACATTTTTTTTTATTTTCAATGTCTAAATATTAGAATATGAGATTTTTAAGATTTCTTTTGATATTTGTGTATCATTTGAATTTTAAAATTTCATATATATATATATATATATATATATATATATATATATATATATATATATATATAATATATATACACACACACATATATATGTATGTATATATATAGTAATATTAAACAGTAACACGCTCAACAAAAAAATAGTAACATCAAACAGTAACACACTCAACAAAAAAAATTGTAACATCAAATAGTAACATATTCAATAAAAAACTTAATTAAAAATTTAATCATTGCAATAGAGTGACACCATATGTGAGTATTTATTCAGTTGTGGTGGTGTCACTATATTACAATGATTAAATTTTTGTTGAGCATGTTACTGTTTGATGTTACTATTTTTTTGTTAAGTATGTTATTGTTTTGATATTACTATTTTTTTTTGTTGAGTGTGTTACTATTTGATCTTACTATTTTTTTGTTGAGTGTGTTACTGCTTAATATATATATAGGAATATAATTTTAAGGCTAACACAATTTTCAAAATATGAGTTGTTAAAAATAATATAATTCCCAATTTAGGAGTTAGTTTTTTCAAACAAGTTTTTATTAAATGTAACTATTGAGGGTATTTTGGACAATGTAAATTAAAATGGACTTATCCCCAAATAAATATTTTGAGTGTACTTAAATTCAAATAAGCCTACAAAAAAGGACCGACCTCCTTAAGCCCCTTAATTTAATTTGACAAGCCCCAATTTTATTTATCTAATTGATTTGAGCTCAATTATTGATACCATTTTGTTAATTAAATTTTTAATGCCTACAGTAACGTCTCGAAAAAATCTATTGTTATATCTTTGAAGCATTGTTGATACTGGTATATCTGAGAATTTTTAATTGTCTAGTTGTAAATAGCCCCTAACTTATGGAACAAAAGATTATCTCGGACTTACACTGAGGTATTGACGGTTTTGCAGAATAGAATGTGATACAATGCAATAGAAACCACACTTTTGGCACTACACAATGACACGACTCGACACGACTCGACATAAATTTTATGATACGAACTCGAAAATGACCCAACACACGAGCACGAAATATAAACGGGTCATGTTTGGATTCAACTCGTCAAATTCGAAATTGACACGATCAACCCGTTTATTTAAAAATGAATACTTTTTCTATTTTCTCGTTTATATGGTAACACGAACAACACAAAATTAATACAAAATTAACATGTTTAACTAGTATTATAGAAATAAAATGTTAATTATTTGTAACAATTTATTAATCACTAACATAGTTATTATATAAAAAAGATATTTTTATTTATTTATTATTATTATATTTATTAATTTAATTTTTAGTTTGTAAAAAAAATATGAGCATGAATTCAATTAAGTGAAAATAAAATATTAACATTAAATTTTTTATTTAAAGTTAATGTGGGTTAACACGAATACAAACACAAACACGACATAAAAATAAACAGATCAACTTGACACGACACGACTATTTAAATAGGTAGGGTTAGAGTTGACTAATGTTCGACACGAATCCACAATGACCCGACACGACTCAATTGCCGCCCCTAACTATTAAGCAAGTGATAGCGTACACAGGTCTGGACCTATAGAGTGAGGGCGCATTAAAGCGAGTTGATGAGATAATATAGCTGACATAATTTTCATATGTGGAGGCAAACTGATGTTAAGCATTGGGGCCAACCATAAAAAAATAGATTTGAATTAAGATATATATTGTCTTTCAACTGACTGTTCCAAACCATGCTTCGCAATCAATCTAAAAAAATGCTAAACAAAAAATAAAATAAATAAGATGAATAAATAAATTTCATCTTATGAATAAATAAATAAGACGAATCAGCATCTTCAAGTAACTCAATAGGATAGTTAACCCAGCTCCCATTTCTTTGTGTCCCAAAGATTCAATTCATAGGAAATCATTAAAACTTTTTCTAATTGAATTGAAAATTTAGACATCATTATTTGAATTTCAATAAAATTTGACTATGTTTTATCATCATAAGAAAGAAAAATCTCTATTTCTTTTCAAACTGAATTATCAATGATTTAAAGAAGATTTCAAACCAGACTTTCTCCCCAGGAAACCAAGGAATTTGAGGAAAAAAATCTCTATTTCAAGATCACCATGAATTAAGGAATATTCTTTTTGAAAGTTGCATGTATTTTGATTCATTAAAATTGATGATGCACAAATTGATTTTGTACACCACCTGTCAAGTGATTAATAATCGATGCAGTAATTAAATAGAGAGAGAGTAACTCAAGTGAGACAAAGATTTAGAGTGATTCGGTTAATGTGACCTACGTCCACTTTGAAGGGTTAGGGTCGCCTGGGTATTTTACTACTTGGATGAGTGTAGGGAGAGCAGGGTGATATAAGCAATAAGAGAGAGATGAGAGTGATAGTAAATGTGCTTGATTATGTGAGATGCCTCCCAAGTATTGGCGGGGCTTATAATTTATAGTCGTCTCCTAACAGATTGAGGCAACTTATTAGTAACTAAATCGCTAATCTGGTGGAGCTAGCGCCCTTTTTTCAACAGATGAGGCAGTTATGACGCTCCTCATAAGATCCGATCAAATGATGATTCGGTGGTTGACTTTTTTCAAGGCGGTGTGAATGAGATTCTTGAATGACCCTACTTACTCCTTTGGTGATGTAGCTCCTCGAACCTTGATGAGCTTGATCGAGTGTGGACCCCTTTGGGCTGGACTTACTGGATCTTTTTAATTTGGGCTTTTAATTTAAACTGGTCTCACAACGTGGGTTGGGGCCTTGGGCTTGACCCATTATTTGCCCCCCAATTCCCCATGTCCAATTAACTTGGAGAGGAGGGCATTCGGTTGGGTTTGGATTTCGACTAAATGCACAACTGAAAAAACTTTGGAAGGCCCAAACATATGTTTCTAGGCTTTTTTTAGGCTCTTAACAATGTTTATCATTGCCAAAGGCCGTGAGTTTTGTAGGGCATGTCGAGAGCTTCGATTTGATATATTATAAGCCCCATTTGGAGAAACGGATCAAAAGTTATAGTTATAACAGTGTCAACCCTTCTTGGACTTGGATTTCTTGGAGACTCCTTTTGACCGACGACTACTTTCCTTCCTGTAAACTTTTTTTGCTCATTCTTGATCTACTTTTTCTTGCTGTGAGCTATGAGAACTTTTCTCCATTTCATCACTTAATAGGAATTAAAAACCCTAGGCTATAAATAGGGAGCTTCTTCCCCATTTCACCCATTTTTGAGAGAGAGTGCCTTCTTGAGATTCTTGAGAACCCAAGGCTAGAGATTTTTTTCTTGAGATGAGCTCTCAGAAATTAATGTCAAGCAAAGGAAAAGAGATACGAAGATCCACCGGTTTCCATGGCGATGGAGCAATTAGCACTGAGGTAAGCAGCGAGGCCATTGCTGGCGTGATGTTGACCATAGGAGAAGGTAGAGCTTATGCTCTACTGGGCTTCAGCGAGGCAGAGGACACTAAGGGCCATGGCAGAGTTGGCGAGGCTTGGGTCCTCGCGAGCCAAGGTGATGAAGTGGGGGACCAAGAGGGCGAGCATGAGGTGCCCTGGGTGCTGTCTGACGCGGCAATCCAAGCTGAAGGAGGGCGACAACGCCATGGGCGTCACTGAGAGGAGGTCTCATGTGGTGTTAGTTGCTGGCCGTTGGGGAAGCGACGCTGTAGGCGACGCGCCATAGGTGTCGTGCTTCAATGAGTGGGCGATTGATGTTGATGTTAAGCTACTAGGGTCATCAGGTGCCGCTGGCCATGGGTCAGGGAGTCGGAGGTGAGGCGCCCTTGGCACTAGGCAAAACGTAGCTGGGCGAGGTGCCCTTGGCGATGAGCGAGATGCAGTTAGGCATAACGTCCTGTGCGTAATCGGTCGAGCTTGTAGTCTACTATAGTAGGAACACGCTGAGGCCAGCTGGGCAAGTACCAGTGAGTGTTGAGGTGGTCCTGTCAGTCACTAGGTGTGATCAAGCAAATGCGTAGTCGATGTTGGGCTAGTCAGGCTTGGCGGTAAAGGTTGGGTACGGAGCTAGCAAGCCTGGTTCTGGAGTCAGAAGGTAGAGTACGCCGGGGTATGCTAGTGTTTCTGGCAACGATGATTCTGGTCGAACGACGGATGACATGATTCATTCATGTGGAACTCCAGGGAGTCAGATTCCTCAAAGCTCTCCTAATAGTGACCTGGGCAACGTTTCACACCCTCGCAACAAAAAACACCGAGGGAAGGTAGCTCTTGAAGATGATAGTTCTAAGGTAAGTACCATCTCTAGTACTTTCAAGACCGATGCAGATATTCTGTGAATTGTTTCTACTTATAACATTCTCCCTACAGTACTATGCCATCGAGCCAAGATGGCCGAGCCTGCTTGTGATGACTCCTCTGGAGACATTGCCATTTATGAGGAGGTGGTAGAGGTTGGGCTCAGGTTCCCAATGCCTTCTTCTGTTTGTCATATTCTGCATTATTTTTCACTAGCACCAGGACAGGTGCGCGTCCAATGGTTGGAGAGCTTTGCTGGGGTTTCTGGCACTGTGGAGGAAGGTGCATTATGCGGATGCATCTCCTAACGAGTTTTGTGCAGCGTATACTCTAAGTGAGACTCCTACTCTCAATCTTAGTTGGTACTACCTTTTTCTGAGAGGAGGTAAATTGATCACCAGATTGCGCTCTAACTACTATAGTTAGAAGACCCGTTTTATATTTGTTGATGGAGAGTGGGCTTCAGAGGCTGACAAAGCTTTGGTACCAACAAAATGGGATGCCCCAAAGAGACTTGGTATGCCCACACTTATTCTTTTCCCTTTGCCTTCTTTGAAAATATGTACTTATTACATCCCTTACAGGTTCTCTAGAGCTCACAAAGGATCAAGAATGGAAGTTGCAAGTCGTGAGGGCTCACCCTGTAAAAGACTTTGGAGCTCTCATGCTCAAAGAGGATAGAGCTAGAGGCTCTCTTACAGTCGGTGTTAGGGCTGGTGCACCCTCTACGAGACTTGGTGGTTCCTCTTTGAAGAGAAATGGTACATTGATTCCTTTGTCTTCCCCTTCTTTACTTGATTTTTATTAACATAACACTTTTCTCCTTCTGCAATGGACAGAACAATGGTAGAGTCTCGTTATTCCACTAGGGGCACTCCTCCTTCTAAGGTGGCAAGGGTGAGTGATGCTTTGGCAGGCTCCTCTGAGATGACCCCTCTAGTGGTGCCTCCTCGGTCAACAACTCCTTCAGATGTGACCGTCACTCTGGAGACTCCCCTATTGGCCACACCTTCTGCCCCCCATTCATCGACTTCTCATTTGGGAACCTCTATAGGAGCACCTACTTAGATTGGCTCCATGTTGGGTGATGTGCAAGTCGTCAGGGATCAACTTGGGAGGTTTGTGTTCCTAACAGACGTTAATGAGATTAGTGCCCGGGGCACTAGGGGTGTTATCGACACATTCTTGGAAAGTCTGGCTCATGTAAGGATGTGCTTTCTCCTTTTCTCCAGTCCCTCCTTAGAGACTAAAATTCTTTTGCCTTTTCAGGTTTCAACTTCTATGTGTCTTTTCATATTTATTATAGTCAGTTGAAGCAGAGTTATGAGACAGTGCAAAATGAGCTTTTTACTACTCATGGGAGGATTGCTGAGCTTGAAGCTGATGGTAGAGCTTCCTAGGCTAAGCTTGTGGCGACTCATAAGAGGGTTGCGCTCAAAGAAACTGCATGCATGAGCGCTAAAGCAGAGTTTTTGGCGACCCATAAGAGGGAGGCTAAGCTTGAGGCTGAGCTTTTGGCGACTCATGAGAGGGACGCACTTAGAGAGGCTGAGATTATGGAAACTCACGAGAAAGTAGCACTCAGAGAGGCTGCTTGATTGAGAGCGAAGACAGAGGTGAAGCCAGCTCACGATCGGGCTTCTTAGGCTGAGGTGGATCTGTAGTTGACTCGTGAAAGAGCTGCTAATGCTAAGGGTGATTTAGAGAGTGACCTTATAGATGCCTTTATTGATAGTTACGAGGAGCTTTGGGAAAATATTTCTGCTGCTTTCCTTGATGTTGATCTTTCAGGCTTCGTGCCATATGTGGCGCCTAATGATGGTGATGGTGGCTCTGACGATCCAGAGGGTAAGGAGGAGGACAAGGACGACGGCGACCATGAGAGTAGTTAGAGTGCTGGGGACTTTTGATTTATTTTTTTTTAGAAAGGCAGTGTAGCTTCACTTTTTGTAAAAGTAGTTTTTTGCCACTGATGCTCCTTTGAAATGGAATGCCGAAATGCAAAGAACTTTTGGAGTAAATTTAGCAAGTTTTATCGATGATTGCTCATGCTAAGCAATAGTGGGTAATAACCCAAAGAAGTTACAATAAAATCAAGTTTCTCAGCTTACTACTTCTATTCCCCTAAGGTGTCATTGGTAGTACCTCTTCAGATGCTGAACATTCCAGGGATGGGGTAAGACCTTTCCTTCGGAATTCTAGATCTTGTAAGTGTCTGGCCTCACTACTTCTGTTATAAGGTAGGTTCCTTTCTAGTTTGGTCTAAGCTTTCTTCTCACAGATCCTTCGTGGCGAGTATCGCATTCTTAAAGACTAAATCTCCTGGTTGGAAGGAACAAAGTTTCACCCTCAAGTTGTAGTGCCTCGTTGTATTCCGCATTGCTGACCATAACCATTTTCCTTGCCTCCTCCACCAAGTTGGGGTTGACGCAGAGTCCTTCCTCATTGGTGATGGGTCGTGGTGTTGGACCCTTATAGAATGTACCCCAATGTCCATAGGTATGATTCCCTCAGTACCAAAGGCGAGGGAAAATAGGGTTTCTCTAGTTGGGGCTCTTGGTGTCGTTCGGTAGACCCATAATACAGTTGGGAGTTTGTCAATCTAGAGACCCTTCGCTCTTTTGAGCCTTGTCTTTAGGCTGCATAGAATTGTTCTCACCATGACCTCTGTTTATCCATTTACCGGCGGGTGCACTGGGCTAGAATAAGGCTGCTTTATCTAGAGGTTAGGGCAGAACGAGTTCATGAACTTGTTGTCGAATTGCTTGGCGTTTTCGCTGACTATGGCGTGGTGTACTCTGAAGTGGAAGACCAAGTACTTCTAGATGAAGTCCTTGACCTTTGCGTATGCTATTTTTGCTAAGGGCTCGGCCTCCGCCCATTTAGTAAAGTAGTCGATTCCTACCACCACAAACATGCATTGCCCTTTGCTTAGAGGTAAAAGGCCCAAGATGTCGATACCCTATTTGAAAAAGGGTCATGGACTTGTGATGGTTATCAGTTCTTCTGGTGGGTGTCTAGGCACCATGGCGAAGTGCTGGCACTTGCCGCATTTTTTGGTATACTATTGGGCGTCTCTAACCATGCTAGGCCAGAAGTAGCCTTACCTGAGTGCCTTGTGGGCTAGGGAGCGGCCTCCGGAGTGGTTTTCGTAAACTCCTTCATGAATTTTCCATAGGGCGTAGTCAGCCTCATCTAGGGAGAAGCATCATAGCAGTGGCAAGGAATAGCCTTTCTTATACAAGATGCCCTATAGGATAGTGAATTTGGAGGCTCTCATCTTGAGCTTCTTGGCTTCCAATGAGTCATTTGGCAATGCGCCTTCCTGGAGGTATGCCCTTATTGGGGTCATCTAGTTCGATTCGCCAGATGCACATTTGATGTTAATAGCTTCCATGTCTAGCCTGCTTGGCTTGAACTAGTGACTGATGAATGCTAGTTTTGGTGGGGCTTCCGAGGATGAGGCGAGCCTTGTGAGTGCATCTACAACCATATTGTCTTCCCTCGGGATGGAACTTCGTAAGAAAGGCTTGCACCATGGCAAGGTACTCCTGCATTCTAGTTCCTTTTGCTTCGAACTTGCCATTCACTTGGTTGACTATCAACTAAGAGTCACTATAAGCGATAAGGTGTTAGACTTCCATTTCAGTTGCAAATCTTAAGCCAGAAAGGAGGGCTTTATATTCTGCCTAATTGTTAGAGGTGGTGAAGTGGAGCTTCACGGCGTACTTGATGGGAGTGTTGTTAGGGATGATGAGGATTAGGCCAGCTCCACCTCCTTTGCTAGTCGAGGATCCATCCACATAAATTTTCTAGGGAGGCGGTTAAAAGGGAGCGTTAAAGGCCATGGTGGGCGCCTGGATGCCCTGGGCGCCCTTTGAAGGTGCCAGGATGCCCTAGGCACAGTTGTAGGGTGCCAGGCCTTGGCGCTTGGATGTCTTGGTAAGTTTCTGATGAGGTTTCCTGAGGTGTCAAGGGTCCACTATCCTCCTCCTCCGCTGGTTTGAGCTCTGCAATAAAGTCAGCCAAGGCTTGTGCTTTGACGGTTGCCATTGGTTAGTACTAGTCATCAAACTCACCTAGCTCTACTACCACTTAAGGAGTCTTCTAGAGACGTCTGGCTTTCCCAAAAACCTCTTTAGAGGCTAGTCCGTGGCAACAACAATGGCGTGACTCTAGAAGTAGTGTCGGAGACGCCTTGCTATTGAGATCTGGGCGAGTGCCAATTTTTCTAGCCTTGAATATCCAATTTCTGCTCCTTGGTATGCCCTGCTCACTTAATAGATAGACTTTTGCACTCTTTATCCAATTTCTTCTCCTTGGTATGCCTTGCTCACTTAATAGATAGACTTTTGCACTCTTTGTTGTCTCTGATGAGGACAGAGCTTATTGCCGATGGAGAAACAGAAAGGTACAAATATAAAGTTTCACCTAGCGTAGCATGTGAAAGGAGGGGAGGCATAGCCAAGTAATTTTTAAGCTTTTAAAAAGCTTCTTTTGCCTCAGATCCCCATTCAAAAGCTTTCTGGAGAATCTTGAAAAAGGGTAAGCACTTATCTGCAGACTTGGAAACAAATCTGTTGAGTGATGCTATTCTTCCATTGAGGCGCTGGAGCTCATTGGTCGTTATAACACCCCGCATTTTCTTTTATATATGTATATAGATATATAGTAAATAATTGTTGTAAAAATGGGGATATGTGTAGTGATGTGTGTTTGAATTTGGTAGAATGAAAAAGGGATGAATAGTGCACTGGCTGTAACATCAAGCTCGATTTCGACCTTGATGCAGTCCAT